ATTTTTATTAATAATGTTAAAATATTGTCACGAAATATTACTTCATTTTTGTGAGAAAACTAATGTTTTGGACGTGGGAAAGATAGATAGCAGATGTTACTTCCTTTGAGGGAAGTCCGTACATCCTCTGTTTTTCCCTTATCCGCTAAAATTCTCGCTCAGATGTGAACTATCTACCCCTCTTTGATTCCCCTTTCATCCGTTCACATGAACGAGTTTCTAGCCGGTGATTGGTTGTAAATCCTGAGATATAGAAGAAATTTGTCCGAATTCGGAAAGTTCTTTGACCGATCCGAAAGTGTCCAAACTCCACACTTTTTCCTCCTGATGACCAACGCCCATAGACAAGCCACATGGACTAAGTCCCGAGTCTGCACTTAGAAAATGTAACTTTGATTTTGTGCACATATCTATCTCCCATGTTGAGACGTAAATGAACTTTATCTCCAAAGTGCCCTCTGCCTACAGAGAAAAAGACGAACGACAACTAGAACAGGTTGTATGTTTTAACGATTTTGTGAGCTCTCTCTCTCGATCGCGTATCGGGTATAGTATAAGTCCATGCCGATATCGTGTATCTTAATTGTCGTTTTATATCCCTCGTTCCTCGATATTTGTATTAGTTTTACTTTTGAATCATTATATTTACTCTTGTTTGTTTTATATAAGATATGTCTGTTGATTTTTCTCTGAATCAGATCTATAAAGAAATCGCACGTGGGTTTGTCCGCAGATCGATAAATTGACAAACTGGTGTCAGTCCTGACGTAGATCTGGACCTCGCAGTCTAGATCGGTTTCGCATATTTATTGCCCTCCTATAAAAAGTTTAGAGAGCCGATCACACGATCGTGCGCCAGTAAGTGATATAGGTAACTTACTTATACCCTTGGCTACTCTCACAATAGAAAAACAAAGTTTCTTTTATTCTGAAACAATTTTCCAAGCAGACTCTTGATCTATATGAAGGTAAAAAATGGTAAATTGATATGTTTTTAGGTTCATTATGACTGAAAATGTATCTACTTTTGCACTAAATATAATAAGAAAAATAATTTTCTATCTTATGAAAAAATGATGCAAATTTATAGCATCATAATGTTTGTTTGATCATGGTGTATTTAATCTTTTTTAATCATCACATCCTATACTAACACTTCTTACATAAAAACTAATATGGGTACTTTTCTGTTATTAGACATTTCACATTGTGTATTGCATTCCAATGTTGCACTGCACTCTGCTGGGTCAAGAGATTTTGCATTGCTTATAAAACAATGAAAAATAATTGCATTATGATTTCAAATAAAGTGTCCAAAAATTAAAATCTAAGTAAAAATTATTTGTTTCTAAAATTTTTTAAATATATTTTAGTTTTGTATTTAATATTAGCACTAATAGTTTTTGAAGAAAAATTTATTTTGGAAATATTGCCCTGTTACCTGTTGTTGGTATGTAAATTAGTCCATTAGTTCAATATTTCAGGTAAGACATTCTGTTGAAGAGAATGTTGCATTTGTTCACTATTTTCAACTTTTTATAAGAATGAAAAAATTTTGTTCGTATTCTACAGTAATATGGTATATCACATTTCCAATGTTTTTTAAAAAAGGCAATAATGTAGTTTTGCTAAGTGTGTTAAAAGCCAAGTTGAAGTTTTAACAAAGCAATTTATAGATGGGCTTCTGGTGTGCAGACTAATATATGGATGCACATGTCAAAGGATAGTTTTGTCATTTCTTTAGATTTAAGCTTTGTAAGTTTGAAGAATTGTTGTCATCTAAGTTTTACAACTTTCAAATGTAAATGTTATTCTAAGTGAAGGAAAGTAAGTACCATTCCTTTAAATTGTCCTTCAAGTAGTAGTAAGTAAATATTTTAATGTAATAAAATTAACAAAAAGTACACAATTGTAATTATTTATATCAGGGGCCACCAAACTATAGCCTGCAGTTCATTTGTGGTTCAGTGCAGCAGTGATCCACTGCTGCACTGAACCACAAATGAGTTAAAAGGTAATTATTTATATAGAAATATCACTGATTGTAGATAAACTTACTATGTAAAAAAAATTAAAATAAGTTTAAGTAAAATTGCCAAAATTGGTCCAATCTGATTTTTGCATTTGACAGTAATATCATTTTTAGGGAAAATCAGTGAAATAAACAATTCGGCAACTTTTTATGACTTTGGATATCAGAGCGTTTTTTGAGTAAGTATATGCAATAAAGTTTCTAAGGAAAGCAATTACAAGCTTGCTGCAGCAATCATGTTTGTATAGGTAAATAAATATGTTGGTTGTCTTTATTTTTTGTGTATTCAGTGTATTGTATTGAACAAAATGGTTATGCAGCCCATGCTCGTCATTCTCTCAGTTATGTGGCCCATTGTGAAAAAAGTTTGGTGGCCCTGATTTAGATTAATCTTTTTAGTTAATTTTGATTTTTTTAAATGTGTGCTTTAATATAACAAAATTTTAAAAAATGTATTTAATTTAAGATTTAAAAAATTTCATTTTGGTTATTTTCAAATAATATTTGATTTTTAATTTTTGAATAAAGTGCATTCTCACTCTGCAAATTGCAAGAATATAACTGAAAAGTATCTTAATATGTTAAAAACAAATTTATAATAATGTATTTAACCATTTTATACTTAGGTAACAATACACCTGATAAAATTAATCTGCACCTTCTATTTGGAAAAATTGAAAAAATTGTGAAAATTTTAATATTTACTACATTTTAAATGTATTAAATTAAATATTTTAAATATATAAATTTATAAAAGGAGTTAATAAATTAACATTTATCATTAAATACTAGATTATTTTCTACTGTATTTTGGCTCACTACTATTGAAAAGGTAATTTGGTCCAAAAACATAAATCAGATGCAAGCCATGATAATTAACTGTTAGTCAAAATATAGTTCAGAATAATTCAGTATTTAATAATTTGACAATGATAATGTTCAGGTATTGTTGAATAAATTAACAAATTGTTTTAATGAAAAAAATTACATATAATTATATACAGGTTATATACATTGTATAATATAGTATTAATAGTTATGTTCTGAAAAAAGGCCATGTTACACAAATCTATGCTATACAAAACAAAGGACTAATGCAAAACATAGAGTTAAGTTCCAGAAGTTAGCAAAAGTATACTATTCTTTTCTGTTACTAAGATAAATATGTTTATTAAAGCAATTAATAATTTATTTCCAATCAATATTTAATTAACAATCACAATTAAAAGTACTGTGTTACGCATTAATATTAATTTTAGTTAAATGGGGGCATTTTTTTTTTACAAAGTATCGTCATCATCTCAGCTTTTTTGTTGATCTTAATCAGAAGTATAAGCAATTTTTCATATTTATTTTTATCATAAAAAATTTTTTATGGATGACAAAATAAAAATATGTTATTAATCAAAAATTTGTTCTAGCAGGTAGCAATTGTTCAGTCGAGTACCAAATGACTTTTCCCAGAATTTGTGTTCAAATACCAAATTGTTCGAGTACTGATATACCACTGTATTTTGTTTGTCATTTTTAAGAATGAAATGTGAAATCCGGAATTTTTGTCGACTATTTGTCGATTAATTGTCCTGTATTTGCTTAAATTTTCCTTTAACTTAAAGTGAAACCTAACGAAAAAAAAACTTTTCGTTTATGTTCGACATAACCATCCGTTCAATTCGAAACTAATCCCACATTCCAACGCCAGAGTTGATAGTTAGCATGGTCCCGGGAACAACTCTGACCCATCTGCTTACCTTTTACCTCACAACAATCAACCACGTGACCATTCTCCCACGCCGAACTTATAAAAACCCCTTCCTTCCCCTTCTCGGGGGAGACGTACCAGAGCAGGTGCCGGAAGAAGATCAATTTCAAATAGTGTCCTTTTTATCTAGTGAACTTCCCTAAATCCAGGATTTAAACAGTTAACCAGTGACCTTTCCTACATCAGTGAACTTTCCTAGCCAGAGAAATTTTCCTAATTCAAAGAGTAGCGTGGATAACAGATCAAGAGGTATGGAACCAATTATTGTAAGCTCTCTCTCGGTCTCTCCGCGTTTTAGGGACGCGAACTAGACGTAGTATTACTTGGTTTAATAAATTGTTAATTTTCCTTATGTTATATCTGGCCTCCTCGTTTACTCGTATATCGCCTGTCGTCTCACCGATGCGCTCCTCCCTCCGCCACTCAACCCGAAACATTAAAGCCCGTTACTGCGGGAAAAAGACTCTTTCCACCCATCCTGACAGTGAAAGGGTTTAACAACCTGTTGCCGGATCGGGAGACCTATCCCCCCTTCCGGTGGTTTCACAGAAATAATCATCTGTGGGTAAGTAATAAGTAACCACAGGTATTACTACCACCTACAGTTAAAAACAGTTTAATAACACTTATCTAAAATATTTAAATAAACTTTATTAAATATGAAGATTAATCTATAAAAAAAAAACACAGTGAGTCTTAAAGACTAAAGTCTGAAAGCAATGACAACACCTGGTTGATAGGAAAATTAGTGTAATTTTTTTCTTCTTTGTCTTATCAGGTTTCATTAAAGTAAACCTGACAAAAATCACCAAATAATTTGAAAATTTCAATATTCTAAAATCCATGGCAAATTTGAAATAACACGTGTGCTTATTTGAATAAAAAAATATATATAATAAGGAAGTTTACACTTAAAAATTGTGAAATTTTGTATGGAGGATTTCCAAAACTATGTTAGAACAAAAGTGGGAGTTTGTGTTGCATGGGGGATATCCTCAATTTTCAAACCATGTTAGTGTGAAACCATGTTGTATGAGGGATATTTGTATGTGTATAATATATATATATATATATATATATGCATGCATCACAATGTGAGAAAACAAGAAATAACAATGTCATGTTCAGATTTTTATTTTTAGTAGTTATATTTATTTGATAAAAATTCATCATCATATTATATATTAAAACAATATTTAAACTTACCCTGAGAACTTTCAATGCTTCTTCACATACTTGCATCCCTCGAGATTCAAATACTTCAACACATCCTAAATACTGAAAATAAGAAGTAAACATTGATTAGAAAATATGAATTGGTTTACATTTAAATTAAAATTTGAAAATAATATAATGTATGAGGATTATTTTAAGCCTAAATGAAAATATTTACAACATAAAAAACATAAAATTTCTTTAAATAAGTTATTTTCTTCTATAAGTTTTCATGAATTTTGATGTGCAGGTTAAATATTTCTATGAAAAATGATAAATTGTTCAAATCAAACTCAAACCTTCCTCAAAAAGTATAATAGTTTAAAATGAAATGTTTTCAGGCTATCTCATTCCATTCTAAGCAATTTAAATTTATACTTATTCCAGAAGAGATCTGTAAAAAAAAAAATAAGGATAGAGATGGTAAAGGTTTTGTTGCTTGTTGGTAATATTGAAGACACAAGTAAAAGTGAGAACAGGTAATGTGAATATACAATATATTTAAAATGACTATCAGAAAGTTTCAGGAAGGATATTTTTAAAAGTGATAATGTTGCTATTGGCATCCAATATGATAGGATGCCAATAGTAAAGACTTAATTCTAATTAAGTTAACTTTGAAATCAGCAATAAAATTAGGAGTGTTTATAAAGAATAGAAAAAATTGTATAGATTAAAAGAAATTTATAAATCAGAGTATTGGAGCATAAGAATGATGTGTGTAAGAAAAGTTGTCAACATGTTTTATACAAAATGCCTAAAATAAAAATGTATTTAAATAATTTGGAAGAAGTAAATTGTTGTACAGAAAAGAGGAAACAACAAACTTGAAAATTATGGATTAGTCATCTATATATTGTTCCCCAGAACCAGATTATTCTAACTCCACTTAATGCAAAATTTATGTTTCTTCATGTCATTGTGTTCTCATGCTGCTACTTTACATTTCTGCATAATTGAAAGAACGATATCATTTACCTTTATGGGAAAGTAATGTTATTTTATTTTAATCTAACTCTGAATAACTGATTTTATTCCAAATCAAAGTGTTCTATCTCCATTGACCAATAAGTCATCTCCTTTCATTTCCAAGCATGTTTATGCAACATGTTGTTTGCAAGTGCATCATTGCAAATTTGAAGTTAACAAATATTGCTATCATCTTATATTCAACAAATAAGCAGACTTTTTTATAACAGGGACGGTGTGAGAGAAAATCAGGCAGGCAGAAAAGAATTTTATGCCACTTATTCTGATGATAAAAGTAGGATGGATGAACAGGTAAGCACAGTATTGTAAAAACTCTGTTTTGTAAGTCTGAAATGTTACATTACAGTATATTTTTACACAGAGATCAAACTATCGCTTGTACTGATGCTGGCCCATCTAATACTGATACTGATGTTGTAAACAATACAGGTACAATACATTGCCATACTCCTTACTGATGCATTATTCTAAGTTTTATTTTTTGCTTTTTTAGAAACATGAGACAAATAATGAAAAGTTCAGAAAGAATTATGGAAGGTGTCTGTGAAAAAAGTAAAGCATCAACATGAAGAATACATCAATTCTCATGATGTCCTCATTTCCTATGCAAAAACAAAACATAGTAAAGATTGTCTTCAGAACTGTCACTATTTATGTAGGAAGAAGATACCATCAGAACAGTTAAAGATAATATTCCAGAACATTATCTTCAATTATATTATAATGAAAAAAATAATTTCTATGACAAGACAACAGAAAGATATGTAAAACAGAGGACTCAACCAGAGTGTGTTGAATCTGAGAGACCTCAAACATATTCTTACTATTTTGTGATCAATGATGATACAGTATGTGTCTGCAAAGAATTTCATCTGTCCACTCTGGTAATCAGACAACAGAGAAGTAATTACTTTCATTTAAAAAGTAGGTGGGCTTAATCTGTCCTCTGTCCTGTCTGAATCATCTTCAGAGGACAGATGAGGAAAAGAAACCTGGTGCAAAATTAGTAAGAAAGCACAAGAAAGAATTTGAAAGCATATAGATAGCTTTCCAAAAGTTCATTCTCATTATTGTAGACAGACTACTACACAAGAACATGCTTAAAGACTACAAAGTTGTCTCTGGAAAAAAAAAAAAAAAACAAATTTACCAAAAAATGTTCCTTACACAAAAGAAAAACATTTGGTATATAAAAAAAGAAGGCAAAAGTAACAGAACATCTCTGCAGAAAGATGAACTGATGCACATGGTGCCTTTCTACAAAACACAAAAAATGGAACATGAATTTGTGCCAAGTGCAAAAGTAATAACAACAAAAAGTACTCTTTCAAAGGAGAATATCAAGATTATATGATCTTTGTACAAGTACTTTCCAGCTTAGGATAGATCAATTTTGATAGAAATTTTTATTAATACATCTAATTAATCTATCTGTTTTACTACTGTTGAAAATAAAGTTGTGTTAAAGTGCATTCAGTGCTGTAGTTAAGTCAAAATGAAATTAATGACATAGTTCAATAGTATTTCAAACACCATCATTAACAGACCAGATACAGTTAATGTTAGTGATAATATGTTATATGGAAACAAATTTATTTCCACATAATGTATTTGGAAATAAATTAGCTTTTCAGTGTTTCTAATACAGTCAAATGAGTGCTACATTACCAGTATTGTTAATAATTAAATACTTAGTAATTTGGCACTAGAAGTAGACGTTAGGCATCATATGTTATTAAATTTAATAATTATAATTAAATTAATATTTATTTAATAATTTAGAAAATTCTGGAAGAAAAGAATCAGACCAGAGCAGGACTTAAACCAGCAACAGCTGCATACCATGTAGATGTGTTGCTAGTTATGCTATCTGGACTTCCATCCAATCCCTCACTTCCAGGCATATTTAATTATCAAACTTTGAGATGTTTATATATGTGTGTGTGTGTATATATATATACATACATACAAATACATATATATCATATATTATATATATTTACCATGCCGCAGTAAAGCAATAGCTGACTGAGTGCCAAAATGGGTGACCATAGACTGTGGGCATAGAGTCATCCCCACCCAGTTGACACTGTGAGTAACTAGTACAGTTATATTCAAATTAAATGTCTGTAAGCAATGGTTTGGATGGAGGTTGGGTAATGTAACTGACAACACATCCACACAGTAAGTAGAAGTTGTGGGTTTGAGTCTCACTCTGGGCCAATTGTTTTCTTCCAGAATTTTCTAAATTATTAAATAAATATTAAATTAATTATAATTATTAAATTTATAAGAAATAACACCTAATGCCAAATTATTAAGTATTTAGGAAATTACTATTATGGAGGAAATGCAGTTAGAAATTTCTGGATCTGGAGTGATGATATGTTGTTGGCATTGAAAATAACATTTGAAAATCGTAACAATGTGGAAGAATTACCAAAAGTGTAAAAGCATATATTGGGAAAATAAGACAAGAAACAGTGACTTACTGAAATTAAAGGAATATTAGTCAAACATAACAGTATTCTTAGTAAGATTGTCAGTTAACATGTTGACAAATGCTATGTCACTGGGTGAATTGCTTCCTAATATCATTTTCAACTAGACAGTTTACTGTATAGTTATACTCAAATTATACTTATTCTTCATCTAAACTTTTATAACAAAAGCTTATTTTTGCCAAAAATATCTACATGAGTTCTCTCATAGTTGGTATGAAACAAAAAACTTTTTAATAGACTTAATTATAAGATAATTTAATTAATTCAGTTAAAATAAACAAATTTAGATATTATAATAATGTAATGTGTGGCATAGATCAATCAGTTCAAATGCTTTATTATTATTCAGTGCTAAAGAACTGTCAGACAGCCAAAAAAAAGTTACATTGTATATTCTTGAAATAATTTTACATAGTGCAAATGTTATGGACTAACAAGTAAGTGATTAATATAGGTATTATGAATAATGACAAACAAAATTAGGCACTGTAATAAGTTTCATAATTTATCAGATTGACCAACCAGTCACTATGAATACTGCTATCTACTGGTTGGGCAAAGTGATAATATCATCTTGAGGATGATCATCCAACATATGCTAGCCAATCAGCACTAGTTCTGAGTTACATGTGCATATTGCATTTGATATTGAATTTTAAATTTGTGCATCCATTAATTAATCTCGTGAGACATTTAGATTTTACTTTTGCCTCTTAAAATAGTGTTTTCTCTTTTGAAAAGAAAATAACAATCATAAAGCAATCATTAAGTAATAGAAATAACCACTTCAACAACCTATTAAATGAGTTAATAGCAGCAAAAGATCGGAACAGTGAAATTTTTACAAAATTAGCATATTTGTTGATACAAAAAGTGAGAGAGTCAAAAATCGAAGTGACTTTAAACTTACTGGAAAAATATCAGCATTTATATAGATATGATGTTGTATCTATTGGAGAAATATAAAATTTAATTGTGTCTGTAAAAGAAGGTAATTTAAACAAAAACCTACTTACTCGTGCCTCTAACCGGTGTGTAGAAATACAAAAATAAATAATTTTGTAAAAACAAATGTTTTCCGAACACCTTCCGTGTCCTTCTTCAGGTAAAACGGTTGGATTCCTTATTCCCAAACCTCGGGAATAAGGTTCGGGAATAAGGAATCCAACCGTTTTACCTGAAGAAGGACACGGAAGATGTTCAGAAAATGTTTGTTTTTACAAAATTATTTATTATACACCGGTTAGAGGCACAAGTAAGTAGGTTTTTGTTTATTATACACCCCGATGTGCACGAAGAAGTTATATACAAGGTAATTTGATTAAATATTACATTCACACTGAAGAAATATTTCAAATATTGCATGATGTCCATATTGCTATTAGTTATGGCAACAGAAATCATATGGAAAAAGAAATAAGTACAAAATATAAAAATAATACAAGGGAAATGATTGTAATTTACTTAAACTTATGTGAAATCTTCAGAAAACACAGAATGTTCCTAAGAAAGACTTAGTAGTTAAACCAATTTTTAAGTAATGAAATGAACTCAAGATGTCAGCAGGTTGACCTTATAGATATACAGTCGCAAGCCGGTGAGTAATATAAATATATACTCATGTACAGTACCAAGACCACCTAACTAAATTCATTCAACTACAACACTTAAAAACCAAAAGAGCTGAAAATGTAGCCTAAGATCTTTTAGACATTTTTATAATTTTCTGTGAGTATTCTACAAAGACATAATGGCAGAGAATTTGCCAATAATGTCATCAAAGAAATGTGTAATATGTGGCTTAAAAATGGTGCATGGAAAGCGAGACACTCACAAAGTCAGGGTTCAGTAGAAAGATGTAATCAAAACATACAGAATAAGCTTAGTTCTTGATTGCAGACAAACAATACTAAAAAATGTTGGAAGAATTATGTTTTGTACAACTGATGAAAAACTTTAGCATATCATACTAGCATAAACTGCATCCCCCATAAGGTCATGTTTGGAGTAAAGTTAAAAGTTGGACTAAAGAATTTTATACTTGACAAATCATTGACCATTATTAATAAGAAGAAAGATTTAGAGAATCTTTTTAGTTTTAAAAAGAGTCTCTAAACTAATAACGATAAAGGAAGTCAAAGTTACACAAACTGTAGAGGATCAGGCACCATTCAAGATGACAGCGTAAGGATTCATCACTAGATGTAGATTGAGCATGCAGTGATGGAAAAAAATATTTTAGGTATCAGTGTTGGAATTGAAGATAAAAACCTTTACAAACTACATTCCAAGCATGACTTATTGAGCCTAATATATTCCAGAAACCATTTACTGTTTGTAAAGAAAACTTCATTTTTGTTGGAGACATATAGTATCAGGTGCAGAAATTTTGCTTAGTGAATGTGCAAGAATGTCATCATTTCTGAAGGCCAAGGCTATGGTTGATGCTGCTGCAAAATTAGTTGCAAATCTAATAGATGCAAATTACAAAGTAAAAATTATGTAATTCTAAATGTCATCAAAATATTAATTGCTCAAATAAATAAACTAAAAAAGTACTTAATTTTTTATATAATTTATACCAAAAATGACATACCAGAAGTTTTCTTTTTTTTATTGAAGTGTAAATTTTTTAATAATATTTTTTGTTAATATTACTTTAATTAATATAGTTAATAATACTTATTTTAAAAAAAATGCATGTTGTTTTTAAAGTACTTTGAAATAATTCACAAAAAAATAAATAATTCTTAAAAAAAGTGGAGTTTTTTTTTGAAAATCAAACTGTCCAAAGGGAATGTAGCTGTATTCATAATGTCTGATCAATTTAATAAATTAATCAATATTTATCAGGCTGTGCAGCCATTTTAGTCATTATTCATAATGGCTTGGCATTATGAATAATGTCCCATTAATCACTTAGTCCATAACACACATATCCCTTTCAATCAAATAACTAATTTCAACCATAAAAAGTCTGAAATTCAAAGACTGAAGATGAAAATGAATTTTATCATTTAAAGAATACCTCATCCACTAGAAAAAAATCCCTTATACAGGTTTCCCCTGCTATCCAAAAGTAGTGTTCCTGTGAAACCTTTTGTAAGTTGAATGGCATAAAGAAGCAATTACCATTCATTCACATAGAAAAAATGTTTGAGCATTCCCAGATGCAAAAATAACTTACTAAACCATACCAAACAACACAAAATCTACAATAATAACACATAGTAAAAGCAGGATTATTATTACAAATACAGCTTATGTAAATAAGTATAAATAAAAGTATAGTATAGTTAGTGAAACTAAAACAGATATATTCTCTTCAGCAAGTAATCTTTAAGCTATGAAACTGTCCTTGTCTCAAAAACCAATCAAATCAATCAATACATTACTTCTTTTAAATTTCACTTTTCCAATACTTTCATCATCATCCACCATTTTGTGTTTCATCTTACTGAAAAGACTGGATGATTTTTTCTTAAGTATAGATAACTTAACAGAATGCCTTCTTTGTGTACCGATCAATCCACTCAAGCAATAACTTTCCATATTTCCTCTTTACATTTGCTAATGAATATATAAAATAAATTTACATAAAGCACAGACACTCACACATACAATTCAGTTATGGGGACTTAATACTGAATGTAATCTTCAGAAAAGGAGCTTTGAGATGCTTCTCACTACTTGGGATGCACAATGCCTCTAAAATGGCTCACTGTAAAACAAACACTAAATGCAGAAACTATTCTATCCACAGCACCGGGATGAAAATGACGTCACACTACGGAACCTGTGACCGGTGCTCCGTACGTATGTGTTAAAATATCTTGACAAACGTTTTCGAGCGTTCCAATCGCTCTTCTTCAAGTCAACTGAAGGAATTCCCCGGACGGAGTGTATATTATTCTCCGGGATTGAGTGTCGGTTTCGAGGGGGTCTCTTCCGGTGTGTGCGGTCGTGCGGCAGGGGGAGGAAACGGTGGGTTGGCGTCCAATGAACGCTCGAAAACGTTTGTCAAGATATTTTAACACATACGTACGGAGCACCGGTCACAGGTTCCGTAGTGTGACGTAACAAACACTAAATGCTACTTTTGTTTTTCACCTTTTTTGTAAAAGAAAAAACCCTCTTTCGATTTCTTTCAATTAGCAAAACTGATACCAAGATAGGTCTTTAATGAAAATGGAGTAGAGTAAAGTGAAACTTTGCTCTACTCTACTTTCATGAAAGACATGATAATATCACTCACTCCAGTAAATACATGATTCATTCACAGAAGAATAATACAAAATCTAAACAGTGTCATTAAACTCATAAAAATATTCTGTTCACCTATAACATAACTTAATTACTTTTTATGTGACAAGTCTGTTGCAGAAATCAAGAACATCATTTATATTGTTGTCTAGAAGCAATTTCAGTGATTGTGGAATATAAGTACATCAAAATTACTAAAAATTCCTAAAATACAGTAAAACAAAAAATTTGTTAATGTTAGCCAATATAAATGTTAATGATATTTGGAGTTTAATAAAACTGAAATGGCAAATTCTGCATTTGTAGAAATGTAATCAAACTGTAAACATGTAGGCCAACTATATATTAAAGTGTCTTGTTTTATTGGTATTTATTTAAAAAATTTATAAATTTTTACCCTTTACAAAAGATTATTACCTTTACAGAAAAATTGCATGTTCCACCTCTTACTGCTGCTTCGTCAGCCTGCCATTGGTGTGGTTTGCTACATTCTGGAACATGATCCCTTCTTTTTCTAAAACTATCTCTTAGACTTTTACGAAGCCGGTCCATAACTAAAAATAATTCAGATTATTTAAGTAAAAAATTTTTAGCTAATTAAAACAAATAACTTAATTTAATTAAAAAACTTTTTATAAAATGGATTTGATTCTGAAAAGTTATTTTTAATTTCAAACAAATAAAAGTAATAAATTAAAATATTTTGAATACATATAGTTATTTATTTATTATACATTCAATTAGAAATGTCTAATGACAAATGATTTTTTCCTCGTTTAACAAATTTCCTACATCTAAATTTCAGTTATAGTTAATTAATATAATAAGATTTAATTTTAATCAAAACCTATTAACAAACTCAATTTTTAATTTATTAGATCTGTGTAAAGACAAAGGTGTTAATTTACAGGTCACTTATTTTGTTGCAAAAACAAGATTGCAAAACAATACAGATTGTAACTGATGACAAAAATAAAGTACTAAACAAGTATTTTTTGGAGAATTAACACAGACATCAAGATAAAATCTATTTTAGTTGTACACTTAAAAAGTTTTAATTCAATAAATCAGTAATAGATGAAAATTTAAAAAGCTTTAAATTTAAGGTGTTTAAAAATTTGAAATTTTACAAAATGAGTAAATTGAGGAAGCTTTTAAAACTTTTATACATATAAAATTTTTTAAGATGTGGAGATTATTACTATTCCATTATTTATTAATCTTACAGCATTTTAACTTAAGAATATTTTTAAATGAGCAGATGAACAATAGGAGAATGAAATTTTCTATTCAAAATATTATAAATATAAAACAGGACTAACTGGTAATAATGGAAGAAAGCTTAGCCTTCCACTGCACTGCTATACTATGATCAATGCCAGACAATTCCCCATAAATATCTTTAAATGTAATATATCATTTCTGCAGACCTATTTTATGACCATGTTGACAATGAAAGTGCTGTTCATATATTGCAACTGTGAAATTTGTCATTTGTTATCATTATGGTGTCAATGGCTGAGTCAGTAGAATATCTAGAATTCAAAGAGGAGGTTAATTCAAACATTAAAAATATTTGAATAATTAATAAGGACCTTTTATTAACATATGCACAATAGTCGTTTTGTGGATGACCCAATAAACCATATTTGGCATTATAAATGTATTTAAAAGCAATGCTTTGAAATTCAAATAAACAAATTAAAAAAATTTTTTTTGTATCAATGGAGAGGGCTGAGTAGATCTTGTTGTTTCTTGACAATTTCTGCAGCTTGCATTTTTCCAATTTTGAATTCTTTTCTTGCTAATTTTCTCATTCTGCCCTTCTCTCATTTGTGATATTTAATAATTTCCATCATTTCTTTTAATGTCAATGTTTTATTTGGAGCCATATCAACACTTATAGATTATTATTATTATTATTATTTTTTAATACTCTGTCTTTACCACAAATTAAGAACAACTAGGATGCAGACATTAATAATCATCAGCTTCTTATAAAGTATTTTCTATTGTAACAGAATATTTCTAAATAGCCAGTGACAGACAGAGACAATTGCAATTATTGAGTTATAAGCAAGAAGATGAACCTCCATATAAGCTACTGAATTATTCTTAATTGATCTCCAAACAGTTCATTGACATTGAATACTATACAGAAAACAATTTTAAAATTTATATATTACAATTCTTAAAAATCTACATCTACAATATTATCACAGCTTCACAAAATTTTAACAATATAATTGTTTTTATTCTTGTTTTTAATTTTAATTTCATTAATATATTAATTTAAACCTACTTTAAAATTAATGAATTTGCTGACAAAATACTCTTTCCAATATATTTTCGTTTAGATTATTTAATATTTATGAATTTATTAAATTTTTTATAAATATTTTATAAGTCTTTAATATATATATATATAATATGGCATGTCATAAAAATATAAATACATAGATAGTACATACACGTACGTAAACATTTACTAATATTAAAAATGTAACAAATTATATTAATAATATGATTTAAAAAGTATTTAAAATCAAATTTTTAAAAATAAACATTATATTTTTCGAGTAACTAAAAGAAATATTCCAATTAGAGGAATCTAATTCACAATAATTTCTGATAATTTTTAAAAATAAAACTGAACCACTTTACATAACAGCAAAATAATCAGTTTGCTGTCAACAGTAAAATTTATTTATAGTCTTACCAATTTTTTTCTTTCTCTGTCCTTTTGCATCAACGCTTGGCTGATTACCCATCTCCAAACAGTACTAGGCACAAACATATCCTTTACGAGATAATTATTATATTGTAACAATCACGCTTTTCCAAACGAAATTTATCAATTTTATCAACTGCTTTCATTCCAAAGCCGATGAAAATTTTTTGTCGATGATATAAAAAAAAAAACTTAGACAGTTTGGTCAGATGATGTATCGCGTAACAGGACAGGTTTCAAATGTAGACAGGTTTCAAGGACGAGTTTGTATCATTTGTGCTGTACATCAAGACTCTACACTAAATAGTTTTGCTATTACTGTTTATAAAAATGTGGCTCTAAGTAAGACAGCCTAAAATTCGTTCCAATAGCATCAGATTGTATTAATCTTTACAATATCGTGACTACAAAGTTTGTGTGGTATGATTGCATACAGTTTTATAATTATTATAATTTAAATTTTAAAATTATATTGTCATTGTAGACAACGTAATTTATTTTTATATACTATATATTATTTCGTGTAACCTTCTCTCGAAACAGTTTACATTTTATAAATGGAAACATTAATTCTACAATTTAATTTTTTATTCATTTCTATATATATTTATTTATTCGTTTTTATTTTTAAGAAATAAGTTAAAGAAAAACCATTATAATAATTAAATCAAATATAATTTTTAATCCATTTCAAAATATATTTTCTACAAATTCAAAAATTATAATCTGCTTTTACTCATAGAGAAGTTTTAAATTTTCAATTTTGTGTTTAAATATCACAGATAATGCAAAAAAATTATTTAATAAAAATTAAATATTTGAAAATAATTTTAATTAAATATAAATTACACAATTTAACTATTTCTGACGTAAATCTGATCGAGAAACGAATATTAATATGCATAAATTTTTAAAATATTGTATAAATTTATAAGACGAAATTCTTGTTTTCGATTTTGGAAATTGTTAAATAGTCTAAAAATTTATCAAATATAAATTTCTCAAATAAAAGTAAAACATTTCTAAGCTGAAAATAATTTTTTTTAATCTAGTTATTAAAAACGATATTCCGAGGAATATAAAAACCATCTATAACCCATCTGTCACTTTTTAAACTAAATATTTCTTTACTGAGTCGATCACCTTCAAGTCAACCAGTTAAACGAGAAACAATCACTAGGAGAAAGCTAGCACAAATTAAAATATCATCCATAGTCTGCATATTTTTAATAGAGATTAATGATATTTTATTTACGTTAATCGAAATTGGAAATTAAAAACTTTGTCTGCATATAATTTTGCGTCTTGTCTTTACGACTGCCATAAAAAATTTTCTATACGTAGAGAAATATTCACAATTCATAAATATAAAAGCAATACCAAAATATTTACATAATAATACTGTACTTTATTCTAAATTTTTACATAGCATATATTAACGTATGATGATAACGTGCGTTATATAAAATTAATTATAATGCATTTCAATTATTTTTATTCTTATTTAAATTTAGAATCAAATCGATTATTATAAAGAATAGAATTCATTACATCTGTATAAAGAACAGAAGAAAAATGATAGTCTTTTTTTATATGGAAAAATCTCGTTAATATTAATAAGAAAGAATTTTTTATATTTCCGTGCTATTTCATTAGTAATTTTCGGAAAGAATTCGATTATTATTAACTCACATTTTTCGAATTATTTTCAAAAGTTACTAAAATTAGATTTGAAAATTTCACTTTATTATGAAGTCATCAAAATTAAAATCCGAACTAAACTTTCAAAAGGAATCAAGTAAAAAAAGTTAAATAAACGTAAAATTATTCTTTGTCATTTAAGTCTTTAACAATGAGAAATAACAAATTGGACAAAACGGATAATTATCCTACAAAGCTTCGAAGGTTCAAAACGAATTCGATTTCCAATGCACGTAATTAACTTCTCTCAGCAATTCATTCTTGAATATATTTCACTGCATAAAAATTTTCTAATGAAGGAGAAAGATCCATAGCTAAAATCCAGGACAGTCCAGAAACAGATCGGCTCTGGTTCAGCACTCTGTCGGGTTCCTTTTCTTACTACCTTTCCTATCATCACAGTATTAATTTTAAAGTATTTAAGTAACAAAATTTAGATTTATTGTATGTAATATTTAGTCAAAATAATAAATTTTACAACCTTTACAAATTTCATAAATATTTTTACTTTCCCGGCTGTTATATTTAACAGAGGGAACGTATTGCAGTCAAAAAAATGACCGCTCAAGATTTAGGTTAGGTGAGAACAATTCTACAACGGAGGCATCTCGCTAGCGGCTCGCTGAGCCTCTAAGAAAAATTCCAATGTATCGAATATTTTCCACTTCTGTTAAGACTCACTGCCAACTAATACTGATAGTATATGACGTAAGACTAATAGAATCTAACCAATGTTCGAAAATATGACAGTTCATTAACGTTTCTAGTTGGGACCTTCGGAAAATCGCAGACGTAGCGTCTGCGATTTTCCGAAGGTCCCAACTAGGTCCCGAACGATTTTCCGAAGGTCCCAACGCTTTCTAAAGTTCTACATATCTTCCGCCAAACGTTCTCAACCATCACTGGAAACTTGCAAGTGGAATCACGACTTAAGTCCTCCACTTAACGAATCTCTCCGTAATTCGAATTCGCTTACGATATCTTAGATATTTTCGGCCTACGACTAACACCAACACTTACGTATACTTAGGCTAATAACAGATGAGAAAAACTTTAAGAAAATAAGTTCTCTCTGTTCATTTTCCCATAAGCAAAAGCTGTTTAGCTTTAATTATCCCTTAACCTTTAAAACTATATATTAAAAATATATCGCATTTTAATACCATGCTACTTGGGCGATATTTTAACTTGCGTACATACCTTCGGAACGAATTAACCGTAAAAATGAATACGACGTATTTTTTAAACTCACAAAAAATATCAGTGAAAATTTTCGATATTAACAATTTTTAGACAAGAATCATTTAACACACTAGCTACTACTATATCTTAAAACCTTTTCATCGTGTTTTCTTTATATAGAATTAAAATTATTTACTTATAATGTACAATAAATAAGATGTAAAATTGTATAACCACAGCAGAAATAACTATAATTTATGTCAAACTGATGAGGAATTCATTTTCTCTATTGTATATTAAATTTATTAGGGAAACTAAGATATTAATTTAATTCTATTATAAGAGAACTATATGCAATCGAACGGAGATTAACGTCCTCTTATAGTGTCAATGAATACTCGTAAACGAATCTTCTCCATGAATATTAATTAAATAGAAACTATTCAGAATAGTGTTGTCAATAAAGAACCTTGCTTCATTAACATCGCACGAGGAATTTCGATTAGAATATATACAGCCATAAGTCTTTTGAATATTAATAGATAATGTATAATCATTTAAATAATGCAGTTAATTATCTAGCCCCGTGTTTATTTCTTCGCGTAAGTCAGCTACCGATAATAAACTACAAGCGATTATTATATCGTTAGCATACATAACAAATAAGTAATTTTTCATCCAGTTATCAAATAATTTATATAAATATATAAATATTACTAGGCCATATATACATAGGATGTGGCCTAGTAATATGCTAGGATAGATCTTTGAGAAACATCTATCTAAGGAAATACAATAGAATATGTGTTATTTATTCTTATAGCATATAATCTATTTTTTAATACGCGGATCTATATTGAAATGGTTTAAATTATATTTAAGCCATTTCAACATAGATCCGCGTATACCAGAGTTATGAAGTTTACAAATTAATATATAATCTACGAACATGATTTTGTAATATCTAAAGAAACATTACCAATAATTTTGCTTTCATCTAAATTTTTAGTTAGATAAGTATGATAATCACAACGTATATTGTTGGTGTGCTTTTTTTTTGGTCTAAAAGCATATTGTCTAGGAGAGAACCAACGTTTTATTTCCGTAAAATAGTATTTATTCTTTTATGTAAGAACTAGAAATTCCCCCGTCAAGCATGAAGGAATGCTTTTTATGAGAAAGTAGAGACTGAAGAATTGAGAAGAGTAGAGATTTCAAAACATTCAAGAAGAGTTGCTAATATTTCTACAAATTAAGTACAGTAGTTTATACTATCTGTTGTAACACAAAGAGCAACAAAACAAAATTTCACCCGAAGTGGACAAAAATAGTAGGAGTTATAGTTTGTTTGCTTGTTAAGTTATGGCAACACAACACTTGAGCGATCTGCCTAGAGGGTGTGGTGTGCCTTCCGGGATGTCTTTTAAGGGAAACTGGACCATATTTAGGCGTTACAGACGTGGAGAAAACCCGGAAAACTCGACATGGCCAGCCGGTCCGAGCAAGGCGCTAACCAACGACCGAACTCCCAGTGTTCAGGGTACGAAGACCGCTTGGCCAGTAGGAGTTATTGAGCCACTTACATACACATAAACAGATGATGGTATTTATATTTTAAAAATATTAAAATCTTTCTTTATGAAATTTCTTTATATACTACATTCTGAGTAAACACACTGTTGTTTTTTAAAAGGTTTCCTTCCTGTCTTCCTTTAGTAATAGACACCTTAATATTGTTTCGATAATTGACGTTGTGATCATGTTTCTGCAGCTCTTGACAAAGCCATTCTTACTCGAAGTTGCTCAAGTCGGACTTCATGGCCATCTTATTCTTTTAGATCTAGAATTTACCTGACCAATTATACTCTTATGCTTTCCCCACCTTTTTTGACAAAATATCAAGTCTTTTTAATTCCACGTTGATAAAACAAAGATGAATTGTATGCGCGTTAATTAGATGAGCGATAGTACTTTCTAAATAACGGGTTTGTTACATCGTTACTTCCGATTGGATAGTAGAACGTCATGTGGTCATTATGAAAATATTTTAAAAAATTTGTTATAGAAGTGATACGGTGTAGCTATCTTTTTTTTTTTTTTTCTTTTTTTTAAGTTTAAATTTAATGAAGTAAGTTTAAAATACGCCATTTGCCAAAATATTTTAAAATGCAACTTAAAGGAATTTCCCTTGTCAAGCATGAACTAAATGAGGTCACTGACGTCACTGCAACGTAAGTGCGATCACCGATCCGAAATCGATAAAACGTTTATTCTATAGCTAATATTTCCACAAAATAAGTAACCTATACTTTTCGTCAGAACATAAAACAAATATAAC